AAGATTTGATAAAACTTATTATATGAATCAGAACATTTTTATTATTTTTTTATAAAGTAGAAGACGCATGCTTTAAGTTTTGTTCTACAATTTTTTAGGATCAAGTCAGATAGGTAACGTCTCCCATTCTCTATTATACACTGCGGAATAGCAGGCATGATGTTGACAATTTATTCTTGGACGTTGGTCTTCAAATCTTGTAGAGTCCTTGGTACGTTAACATAAACGCGGAATTTCAACAACCTCATTGAAAAAATCACAAGGGGCCAAATCGGGAGAGCGGACCGGCTACTACAAATCGCCCTTAATTGAGACGAGGCGCACTGGAAAATGTTCCCCCGACACAGTCATAGTTGCTCTTGAAGTGTGTGCAGTTGCACCGTTTTGTTGGAATCAAATGTCCGCTAACTCCGACTCATCATCACAGCGACTTCATTATTCTCAGGAAACCAGGGACCAATAATTCCAGCTGGGGAAATTGCACACCACTCTGTGACTTTTGATAGCATTCTTGGTGATAAGTGTCACCACAATAGCGCATGTTTTGTTTGGTGTATCCACACAAATGAAAATGAGACTTATCACAAAAAAAAAACAATAGAGTCCGACTCACACGCGTTTGTTCGAGAATTGAAGCCACGTTCTGGAAGTTTCTGCACAATTGCCATCTTGTAAGGATGGAAATGAAGATCATAATGAAGAATTCTCCTCATAGAACAATCGGAAAGTTCAGACGCATGTTTGCGCGCAGAAGTTGTGTTGATCGAGAGACTCCAGTTCTTCGTCTTGTCGCACTTGCAGTAGTCACCCACGTAAAAATTGATTTCCGATCCGGGACCAGGAGCCAACGGGCCTAAATTAAAGCGATTCCGGAAGGCGCGATGTGTTACGATCAAAGAACATCCTCTCGAAAATTGGGCCTCAACGGCAAAAGCACGCTCCTTACTGTTCCAACGCGTACTGGCGACTGAACTATGTGAGGATAAAACTATATAAGGTTTCCTCGGGTTTTTATCATTACTGTTCTAGAACTAACAGGAGTATGCTTAGAAGAAACCGACGTGTTAGGGTTTCTGTTGGATTACTATCGGACCGTTTTAGAACTGAAATTTCGTATTCGAGTTATATCCTGATTCAGTTTTAGGACTGTTCGAGAATCGTTCAAGCAGTTCCTGCTTTACCGCCAGGACCATTTTTGAATTGATTTTTTCATTAAAATTATTTGTGTTTTGCTTTAAATGCTGTTTACTTTTTTGCGGTTTGAGGAGTGTTCTTTATTTATACGAAAAGTGTACAAATGGGTTCAATGCAGATCATTTTTGATTCTGATTCGTCATCATCATCATCGTCTGACAGTGATGATGAACTTGAAGCAGTTACTCCCAACTCATTTTTGCCAGAGCTTCTCAAAGATATGAGCAAAAATAATAATTTATTTGAAGAAACTGTTCCTTCCTATACTGACAAACAGTTTGTTGAGCATTTTAGGTAAGATATTATTTATCCAGCAAATCAACTTCCTAAAGACGCAGAACCACGTGTAGCATTAAACAAAATAATAATTTTTGCTGCTGAAAATAGCTATAGTCCTGTCCCTCAAACGAGATTACGAGCGCCCCGCTACGACAATCGACAACATTTTAAACAAAGGAATTTATGCTGCCGCACCCTGTATGTAGTTTGATTGCATCACTGGTTCGGGTGGAACAAAGCTTAATTTTGACTGTTGATTCACTATGATTCCTCCAATTATTGAACCTTAAATGCGTAATTTGAAGACATAATCTCTATTTAAGTATTACAATGAAATACGGCGATATCTTGTAAATTGAGCCTAAGCAAATTATCGAGAAAACACTCCACCATTAACTACCAGCTCTATGCTTTTAGAATAAACAGATTTGCGGCATTTTCTGATTAGTGAACATATTTATGTAGATCCGGAGAACGTTGCGCACCGTTTATTACTACATGCAAATGTGGCTCAATACATAGGTAAAACGGAATCGCTTTACAATCGTCGAATGAGGACGAAAAGAGAAACAAAACAAGTAGTCCAGTTCTTGATAGACAGCCGTATTACAGACATTGCAGGTGTTAGTGCATATACAATATGCTATATGCCGGCGCTGAGCTGGTGTGCGTATGACAACGGGCGACCTACTTCATTTATCAACTAGCGTAGTCCAGTCAAATTACGAACAAGCCCACGTCTTCGTTTTTGAAGCTTTGGAATCGATAAGTTGACTGTGACATCACATGGTCTTTTTTGAGCCTATTCAATTATTGACAAGAAGTACAATTGACTGATGTAGCATCTAAAACTTATCCTGTGGGTTTCATGTCTATAATCCCCTATTAAAGATGCATATGGTTTCATTTACCAGACAAACATGGCGGATTATAAATGGCTCTTTTCGAACATTGAATGAAAATACAGGCGTCCAGCGACTGCTACGAAAGAGTCCTTAATATTAGTTGTGAGTCTTTTAAGTTCAGTAAATAGTCTCTTCTGGTTTTAATCGCTTCATCTTGGACAGAAATGAGCGGTGAGTGTAGCCAGTTCACGAAGCATGGAGTCCGGCCTGGTTCTAAGTAGTCAAGACTAATTTTGGGTTGAGAAAAACGTGTATAGCTATGATATTTTTTGTATCAACTCTTGTTTTCAAGATACACAGCAGAGCACTGTATACTATATATCGATTTAAAGATAAATCGAAGATCCTGTGTAACTTTTATTACAAGAACATTTAAAAAATACCCAAAGAACAAAATAATTTTTAGTAGAGTAATAATAGCATACAATAGTTTCTTCCTATTGACATCATCTTTTGGACTGTCTTTTGTTTGTCGAATCCGTCTCTTGTCGGCGAGCATTGACTCGTCCCAATGAGCCTAATATCCGCGTTTCATTTCGAGATATGCCTTGGTGCAATCTTTCGCCAAGCTCATTACTTACAGCTCCACAGTTTTAAGAGAAAAAATTTAGAACTATATTGCATACAATATTAGAAGCTTGACGATTACTTCTATTTTCATGATACTTTTGGAGGGGTTTTTTCACCAACCGTTGGTAATAATCTTTTCGGTTGTCTAGAAAACCTCGTACCACACCGACAGTGGACAGTGTTTCTGTCGGTTTTATTTGTACTTCCTCAATCTGGGACCAGAAACATCCGTTTGTATAAACTCAGACATACATTCTTTAATGTCATCTCGCCACCTCGAAAATTTTGTTGACGACGTTTGAGTATCCGTCATCAGTGCTTGTCACTTTTAGTGTGACAAACTACTTGCGATTTGAGCTTGCTTTCGGTTTATCTCCGTATAAAACGTAGCAATCCCTAAAAGTATAACTAGTGGATAACATCGACAGCTTTTGCCAAATTTATTGGAGCATTTTCAGAAGGGTAATGCCAGGAATGGCCATTTTGAACATCGTTTTGAGTATTGAACAATTTCCCAGCACCGCACATGGTTCTGCCATTTATTTCGAATGATGTTAATGACGCCAAAAACCGTAAAAAGGTCCTTACTAAGGTGTATTACTGTTTTAAAACCTCTAAATTGCCCCACATTTTCTGCCCTAGGTAGTGACAACACAGTTTTTTTTTCGAAGATAACTCGGAAGCATCATGTTCTCTTCAACTAAATTTCTGGGATTGATCTAGCACTATAATCTCCGAAACTGTGGATCGGATTTGTCGTGCAGAATGTCACTGGCCAGACACAATCTTGGAACTAAAAAAATTCTGGAGAGCACCAGTTATAACTGGGACGAAGAAAACAATTATTTATAAACCACGCAAAATATCTTATTGGGCGTTGGGCGTTTTTCGTCTTTCTCAGCTGACTTTATTACATGAAAACATCCAACGTAAGTACATAGCTCACTGGTGAAATGGTAAACAAGTTTTCATTTGTGAAGACACAATTTTCACCTACACACTTGGTGAAGACTCTAGATACATGTACGCGGAAGCAGTGGTGGAAGTTATGGTGTCATATTACTAAATCACTACAGTTTCTACTTTCAATTTTCATGCATTTTTGGCGGCGCCCAGATTCACCTTGATTTTTAAGTGTTTTTAATGAACATTTGAATTGTTATTGGAGGTAGTAGGAGAACATGCGTGCACGTAAAATATGTAAAAAGTAAGTAAACAGAATCGTAAAAACCACTAATATAATTCATATATTTCTATAACGAGTAGTATTACGCTTTGAGATTTGTCACTGTATATGTAATATATACAAATAAAAAGATCTGTATTATTTATTGAATCATTAATAATTCAACAGAAAGGTTATTGGGTCCAGAAAAAAATTTACTAGCTTTCCCACAGGGGAGGGCTAGCGGTCGCGTACCCCCATTCGGAATCCAGTTGACCATAACAATTTGCATACGAACCATAGTTTTTATACCATAATGCCTTTTCAAATGAATTTCCCCTTTGAAAAAATTTGTCACCCCCGCTCTTCAACAAATTTTAGGGGCTGATAAACTTTCCACCAACAAAAATTCCGGCGAGCACCCATGTAGGGGCATACACCTATTCTGCAAATGGTACCTGTCAACTAGTAATCACTAATGTATGTTTCTTGTGCTTCTTGCATACGTATTTGAATTAAGGGTTTTTTCCCTAGGTACATACATATAACGACTAAAGGCTTGGGGTGTGCATCGGTTGCATGTATACACAGCTATTATAATATATGGAGTAAAAGGTCATTGAATACTTCGGCTTCTTTAGTAACTGCTAAATATTTTTGGTGGCAACACGTCACAATATCTAAGCCAAGCGATCTACTTATCAGGAAGTACTTTAGTGTTTGGAATAGCCACATCCAAGAGAAAGTTTTATTTATCAAAAAGCCGACTCAAAATAATGTTTGTTGTCGAAAAAGTCAAACATTTTCGGCTATAGTTCAAACAAATTACGCGATGATTCCTAAATCTTATGCGCTATGTCCTAAAAATCCTCATCGAGCTGTCTCACCTTCCGAGAAGCATCAATAGATTCATGCCAATATCCAGGATGCGCAAATCTAAAATAACATTTGTGACCTACTTCAATCAAGGTACGATACGTGGATAACAGCACCAAAGCGTTAGCTTTAAAGCGCGAAGACATTTTTCCAGTGTTTGGAACCATTTCGAGGCAGACACTTTACCTCAATGCACTCCAGTGAGCTTTCAGCAAGTCCAGTATATCCAAGTGTAGCAGTACCACAACAGTGAGCACTGTATCTATCACACGCGCGTCACGGATAAATCTCGAAAGCACCGTTCGTGCTTCGGTGGTACTTCTTTCGCGCCGGTCGTCTACCAACCATCGACTGGCTGACTGTCTTCGGATCAGCAACGGTGGTCCGGTGTACCGTTGCAGTCAAGGATACCGTCCGTCGCCGCGACAAGTGGTACTCGTAGGTACTGCCGTCGCCGGTGAGCGGTGGGGTCGCTCCCGGAATTCCAAAGACGAAGATGCGTTGCTGCTGAAGATAGGTGTTGGTTGGTAGCCAGAGGCGAGACGCGACAAGGCTGGTTAGTTGAGCCGGTTATTTTGGAGCTCGACAGGGCTCCACCTTGGAGCTATTGGTACCCATGGGTACTGCTAATCGAGAACGATTGGATCGCTTTCATAATTCTTAGACACGAAGATGCGCTGCACTGTTGTTTAAAATGTTATTATGGGAGTTTCATAGAGTTCCACCTTAAGGCTATTGGTACCCATGGGTACTGCTATTCGATGGGTGATTAGGCGGCCTTCATAATTGTAAGAGACGAAAATGAGCTGCGCCGTTATTTGGGATAGATGCTGTTATGAGGGTTCCCTAGGCTGCCATCTGGAAGCTAGTGGTACTTATGTGCTCTGCCGTGAGCGGTTATATGACTCCCGTAATTGAAATTCAAATTCAAAATACATTTAGACTGCTGCTGCTGCTGAAGATAGGTGTTGATTTGGTAACCAGAGGCGAGGCCCGACAAGACTAGCAGGAGAGTTGGTACCCATGTGCACTGCTACTCCATCAGCGAATGGATTGCGCTCATAATTCTAAGAGTCGAAGATCCGCTGCGTCATTGCTTAAGATGAGAGTTGCTGTGCGAGTTCCATTGGGTTCCACCTTAAAGCTACTGGTACCCGTGGACATTGCTAGCCGATGACCGATTAGGTCACTTTCATAATTCTAAGAGGCGAAGATGAACTGTCGTTAGGGTTCCATCTGGCAGCTAGTGGTACCTATAGGTACTGCTGTGGGCAATTGTATTACTCCCATAGGTCCAAAGACAAAGATCCGCTGCTGCTGAAGATAGGTGTTGATTTGGTAGCCCTAGACGAGGCGCGACAAGGGTAGTAGGAAAACCAGTTATTTTTGGAGTTCCAAAGGGGTCCACCATGGAACTGTTGGTTCTCATTGGTGCTGCTAGTCGATGACCGATTGGGTTGCCTGCATAATTCTAAGAGACGAAAAGGAGCTGCGCCATTGTTTAAGATGAGTGTTGTGAGAATTCCATATGGTTCCATCTGGGGGCTAGTGGTATCTATGAGTACTTCCGTACTCCCAGAATTGTAAAGACAAAGATGGGCTTCTGCTGAAGATAGGTATTGGTTTGGTAGTCAGAGGCTGGGAGTTCCACGGGGTTCCACTTTGGAGCTGTGGTCCTGTGTACTAGTTGATGAGCGAATGGGTTGCTTTCATCACTGCTGAAGATAGGTAAAGGCTTGGTATACAAAGGCAAGAAGCGACAAGGTGATAGGGCTACCGGTTGCTATTGGAGTGCCACAGGGCTTCGTCTTTGGGTAATGGTACCCATAACAATGTTGTCGTTGTTGTACAGCAGGGCTGCTCCTGGGATTCGTAGCGCGAAGATGCGCCGCTGATAAAGGTGGGCGCAGAGAAGACAAGAAAATGTTGGTGAGAGAGCCTGGTACTATGAGAGTTGCACAGGGTGCCATCGTGGCTAGTGGTACTCATGAGTGCTGCCCGTCGATCAGAGATAGAGTTATTCACATGAAAACTGCTGTAGAAGTTCTGCGAAGTTCCATCAAGGAGCTAGTGGCACTCATGGGTACAGGCGGCATATCAGTGAGATGTATGGTCGCGTTTGGAACTCTAACAGCAAAGATGCTTTGCTGCTGCAGATAGATGCTGATCGAGTAGCCAGAGGCGAGTTGCCACAAGGTTAGCAGGGGAGTTTGTTATTATGGAGGTATAGTAGGGCTCCATCGTGTTGCAAATGGTACCAATCAGAACTGACACCATATCAGAGAGATCGCTTTCAAAATTCCAAAAGCAAGGATGTGTGGCTAATTGAGTAGTCAGAGGCGATGTGCGACAAAATTGGTAGGAATGCATGTTATAGTTCCGCAATTTTTTTCTTAGAGCCATTGCTGAAAAACGTTATGTAAGTTGTGGTTATACGGCTGAAAGTATTGATAACATTTCAATAATTTTGTTCATGTAATTTTATGCTGGTATATGATACATAGTCAGTCCTACTTTCATTTAGTAGGATATAGGATATCTTTAAGGCTTATCAGTATTACAGCTATCACGCAAAAACTTCAGGTTGAAACGAAAGTCTCTTTATGTGTTGCTCATGTTTAATTTATTCATCAGTTTTGGCACAAAATTCACTGGCCTTAATTTTAACAAACACAAAATAATACCAAGTTGCCTTTGGAAACAAAAGTTTGTTTACTTACTTTACTATCACTTTGACATTAGTTTGTTTTAAATTTTTTGCTTTAAGATGTCGCATAAATTCGAAATAAGAAAAAGTATCAAGTTTCCAGAATGAAAACATTTCACGTAGAATCATTTATCGAATAATAGTAGAGTGCGGGCAGGGAATACCATGTCTGAATCTCCCAAAAAGTGGAAGACCACGTGCATTTACTGCACAGATTTCAGAGAGATTGGTGAGAAGAGCAAAAAATCAGGTTGTAATGTCAACAAGGGTCTGGCTCGGCAATACAGATCTTCTAAGTCACGATATCGTTGGAATTGAATAGGAATGGTTTTAAATATCGAAAGAGACTCAAGTGTCCCAAACATCCTTAAGCGCAACTACTTCGTATACCAAGAGGCTGTCCTCAAATGAGGCGTGTGCACTTTGAAAAAAATCATTATTTTAGATGACGAAAAGTACTTTGAGTAATTCTGAAATGAAGGGAAACCACGGAATTTATATGGACAGCGTAGATGAATGCCCTAACAATGTTAGATACAAACATAAAGCAAAACTTGCAGATAAAATTCTTGTCTAGTGCGCAATTTCTAACAGGGGGTATGCCAACCTTTTGCGGGAATAGTGAGGGGTGAAACTTTGAATAGTCAGAGCTATATTGATAACTGCCTTTCCAAATCGTTTCAGTTCGTCCACGAGCATAATGCTAATGACCATGTCATGTTTTGGCCAGACCTAGCATCATGTCATTACTCAAGAGATACCCAAAACTGGCTTCGACAACACAACATAACTTTTGTTCCCAAAAACGATAATCCTCCAAACTTGCGGCAGGTTCGCCCAATATAGGATTTTTTGGCATTACTGTCTAGGAAGGTTTATCATAGAGACTAGGAATTTGCGAAAAAACTGAGGGAAATTGATCTGAATTCCGTCCAGGGCCTCATGAGGGACATTGGAAGAAAGCTGCGTCTGGTAGAGCAGAATGGGCCACTTCACATAATCCGATAGTATAGTTAAGCATTATAGTATCATTTAAATTCCTTAATTAAAAAAAAATCCGATGAATATTTTGTGCCAAAACTTTTAGGACATATGTAAAGATGTCTAAGTTGTCGAAAAACATACAAAAAAATGTATGAGTGTAAGTAAGGCGACTATAACAATGAAAGTTTGGCTAATATCAGATATTAAAGATGAGCAGTGTCAGGCCTGAACCTCGACCCAAACCGTAATAAAACAATTACCACACTTATGCTGCGTTGCGAGTTTTCTTCATTAGTCTTAAGTCTGAAATGACTCATATAGATAACACTCACTTCCACAAAAATGCCTTTTCCAATTCTGATAATCGTATTACCTTCGACTGAACTACAACTTTCATGTCCGATTAGCCAATAAATGACCCAATTATGATTTATTGCAATAAGAACAAAAACCGTTGAAGCGATTCAGTACGAAACGACGCCTACATATGAAAATTACCAGTTTACTTTCTGCACTCTAGACTCTGAATAAAACTTGCCTACTTTTTCTCATTACAATTACAAACATATGTATATATATGAAATATAAACTTATTTAAATATTCATTGCTTTGCTTGTTTGATTCTGCGAATGGGAATTGAATGTATACAGGACTATCCAAAAAATATTAGCAACGTTTCCATTGCAGAAAATACATTAGAAAATAAAGTCCCAAAATGACTAAGATACAGGTCTACTAACGTCCTGACCGAGAGCAGGGCATGAATATCCTTCGGATGACCTTGTGGTTAGAGGACATTAGGTTAGGTTTCTTGTGAGTGCATCAATAACGATCCTGCACTGCGATTCTTAGGTCTATTTTGGCTCACACCTATTTATATTTCCCAGAGTAGCTCTGACCTCCTGAGGAAGTCAATCAACTTGTTTGGAGAAATGGCCTCAAGGTCTTCTGCTTGGAGTAGTCTCCAAGTATGTTGTACTTGATTCTGGCAATTGCAGGGCATCTGCACAATACATGCCTGATAGTTTCATCTCCCGTCATGCCCAGCCTGCTCATGTGGTGAAGCAATTTGCAATGACCAGTGTACAGTCCTACTAGAGCTTTGAGGTTATTCCTGTTCAGCCGTAGCACAGAGCCTGTTACCTTCTTTTTCAAGACCGGTATAGCTGCAGAGATTATTTGTTTAGCCGTATTGTATGCGATCCCAATCGCTTGCTCAGGCCATATGAAGGGTATGCTAGCCCCACCCTTTGCCAGAGTGTCAGCTGTCTCGTTTCCCTCTAAACCTGTCTGTCCGGGTATCTATATATCGAGAAGTAGGGGACATTACTCGTCTTGCTTTTACATACAATTTTCAACCACTTCAGCGTTTCTTCGTAGTAGTTCTTTAACATGATTGCATCTCGAATATTCGTAATCATTTTTTCATCAGGAGTGGCTTGATAAACATTTCC